AGCAGTGCCAGGGGGACAGCAAGATCCCCAGCCAGGGGCAGGTTGGACAGTGATGTGCAGGGGGTTTCTGGGCTGTCAGGCACCGTTTATTGCACCTCATGGGATCCTGCTGCCAAGCCCTGCTTTCACTATCCTTCCTGGCAGAGAAAACCCCGATTCTTCCCCTTCTCCCTTTCATCCCCCAGGACCGGATGGGGTTGGGGAGGGCTGGTGTGACACAGACACCCTCACTGGGCTGGGCACGGGTGGTGTGTGAGCAACGGGGTGATGCCTACAGCTGGGTAGCACCTCACTCCTTGCCTCAGTTTCCCAATCTGGAAACCTTTAAGTGTGGGAATGTTCACCCTGGGGCTGTGATTTGCCTGAGTACCGTCTGGGGACACTGAGGTCCCCGGGGCACGTCCTAGGTATGTCTCCCATTCCCTCTGCCTCCCCACCTCCAGCTCCCTGCTGTCCCAGCTCCTTGCTCAGTCTCTGCCTACACTCAGATGGAGGTGCCAGCCTAGCAACACCTACCCCACCACCCTTGGGGATGCTGATGCGTTCATCCAGGTAGGTCTGGTCCAGGGTGCCAGGGTGCTGTGGGGCCACCAGGCTCCTGCTGGTGCCATAAGTCTGGGCTTGACCCTGGTTCAGGGACCCCGTGAGGCCTGAGAGGAGAGGTGGGGAGTGAGGAAGAGAAGGAGGAGAGGTAGCAGCCCACCACAGGGGCAAGAGTGGCAGCCTACCTGGCTAGCAGCCCCTTGGTCCCACCTGCCCCTGCCCAGGGAGCCCCATAAGGCATGAACCCCATTTTTACAGGGCAGCTGTGAGGGTGGCTATAGGGTCAGCAGCTGTCAGATGCTGCCTCCAGCTCATGGGTCCCTAAAAGTTCCTGATCCCAGACCCATCTTCACCAGCTCAAAAGCCAAGTGCATTTCTGGGCAGGAGGGACAGAAGGGGACCATGCTCTGTGTTCTGCTGCTGGGTGGGCATGAAGTGGGGACAAGAGGCTGGTACTGGTACCAGCCCCCCCTCCGGCCCCCATTTTCTGGGAGTGTGGGTGAATCACAGATGGGTGTGGAGGAACAGAGGATGGGCATATGGGGAAGCCAGGACAGGCTTCAAGGAAATGGTGCCCACTGTGGGGTGGGGACAGAACAAGGGGTCCTGGGGCAGAGGGAAGGGGCTGTAGGGGGGGAAAGAAGGCGCAGGGGGACCCAAGTGTCATAGGGCTCACCTGGCTCCAGCGATGCCATGGCTGGGCCTGATCCGGGCATGATCTCAACACTGGGTGCAATGCCTGCGCCCAGCTTTTAAAGGATCCACCAGTTGCCCTCCTCCTCTCTCCCTCCCCGAGGAGGAGGAGCAGGAAGTGTTCCTTCCCACCCGCTTTCCTGGGCTGGGAAAGGGCCCTGCCTGGTGGGGGCTGGGTGCTATGAATGTGCACGGTCTCAGTTCCCCTATCCTGTGCCAGCAGCAGTGCACCGAGTGCCTTCCTTCCCCTTTGTTGTATATCCATGCATCCCAACACGGGGCACACAGGGGTATGGGAGCATACTCAGGTGTCACCTTCTCATGCCAGGGTTCCTGCTTCTTGGGTGGCTGTGGGAACAGGGAATCATGTCCCACAGCATGGGGAAGCCTTGACCCGTGGGAGTAGGGGAAAGGCTGGAGGAGTGGGAGAGAGGAGGAAGCAGGCCGGTGTTGCACAAGCATGTGAGGAGGTCAAAAAGCATGCTCAGCTGCAGGCTCTGCAGCACAGGGTGCTCACACCACTCACAGGTTGGGGAACTTGACCCCAATGATGGGGTGATCAGTGTCACTGAAGGTCAGGCTATACCCACAAAAGCAGGGCACCCCATGCCTAGAACCCTTCGTGGCTGTGGAGGTGAGAGGGGAGCACTCTGGGTGCACCCATGGGTGCTTGGGTAGTATTGGCTGTTTCTTCAGGGCAGTCCTCTGCCAGCCAGGCTGCGTCCCACAGACAGGTGGGCATCGGGGTCTGCCCCCATGGAGATGTGATGATGGGCACAGGGAGGAGAGCCTGGACCTTCTCCAGGGTCTGCCTCAGGTGTCTTCCCCAGGCAAAAGCTAGAACAGCTGGGTGAGGGACAAGGGTCTTCCCGAGACTGGCACGCACACACCTCAGTACCCCCTGCACTCCTCGTGCCTCAGTTTCCCCAAAGCAAACAAGCCTGGACAGGCAGCGCTGGCAGCTTTATTCCATGTTAGCCACAGGGTGGGAAGGTGAGGGGCTGGGGTTGGCAGCCCTAGAGGATGTAAAAGGGGTTTTGGGGGGCTCCTTGTGGCCAAAGAATTCTGCGGCAAATGAGACAGGGTCTTGAGGCTGCTGCAGGAGCAGGGCCAGGAGGAAGTCGGACAGGAGTACCTGGAGCTCAGGGTGCTGCTGTATGTAGGCAGTGTGGTACTCTTGCAGCTCCCCCTGCGGCGGGGTGGGCGGGGTGGGCAGGGGCACCGGCGCTGCGCCGTGGGGGGTGCAGGATGCCTGGGTCCTTTCCCACACTTGAGGAGGTGCTGGGAAGGATGCTGGCCACCCTGCTTCCCCTCTCCCCGACCCCTGGGCACCTCAGGGGTGACCCTGCTGGGGGGAGGCACAACCCCATGCCCCCCTGTCACCCTGTCTCACTGTCTCACCTTTCTGTCCAGGAACCAGGAGAAGAGCTGGATGTCCTCCTCCCAGTCCAGGGGCTGCTTTGGGAAGGGGGGCTGGGGCTTGACTCCACCTGGCAGCAGGAAGGCAGGGCAGGGTATTCGCTATTTGGCTACCAGGCAGCAGGCAAGGGCTTGCCTGTGCTGGGGAACCTCTGCCTCTTCAGTACCTGTCTCTGTAGCAGGGACAGGCTCATCCTGCAGACACATCACCATCGGGCTGCCGACCTGCACCAGCCGAGCCAGCCGCCTGCGAGGGGAAGAGCCAGTGACGCCCCACCTGCGTCCCCGCGGGGCTGGGGCTGCCCCGGCCGGACCTCCCCCGTCCATACCCGCTAGGGAGGAAGCTGCTGTGCCAGACGGTGGAGGCTCCCGCACCGGCGTGCACGGCTCGCTCGATCACAAACACCTCTGCCTCCGCCGAGTCCACCGCCTGCGGCTGGACACCCAGGGCACACTGCGGAGGCACAGCCAGGGGTCACCCCATCTTGGATTCATCCCTGCTCCCGGGGGCCCAACCCGTGCCCTCGGTGCTGTCAACCACACTCCCACATCCCACCCTGGCCCCCCCACCTGATCACAGCCCCATCCCACGGCCTCCCCCGGACGGCGGCTCACGTAGCTGACGGTGCAGAGGTGGCCCTCGGTGTTGATGGTCGGGAAGACGAGGCCGGGAGGCACCTCCCGCCGGCGTGCCAGCACCCGCAGCAGCAAGAGACTGGCACCCTCTGGCAGCAGCCCCCGCAGCTCGGCCCGGCTATAGATGAAGCTCCAGCACTGTGGCTCTGCCTGCAGAGAGACCCAGCCACCTCATGGGACAGCCACAGCCCCACCGTCCCCAGGCACAGCACCACCGGAGCCTGGGGGGTGCACCCCCCCGATATGACCCATCTGGGGGACAGAGGGAAGAGACACTCCACCCCCAACCTCACCTCTCCCTCCTGGAGGGTCTTTGTGACAGTCATCCCATGCTGGTGGCTCACCATGTGGGTCCTCCTCCGTACAGGGTACAGTCTGCACTGTGGGAGGGGTGGGGGGCACAGGGCAGAGGGTAGAGCCAGGGAACCCCATCTCTGAAGTGGCACACCCCAACACCCCTTTCAATCAGGATACCGCACCAGATGCATTGTAAGAAGCTTCCTGCCCTAGCTGCCACCCAGAGTAGGGGTTGCGGACCACGGTGTTAGAACAGAGATGATGTCTGAGCTGGGGAGGGGACACCACAGCAACGCTGTGTGGAGTGAAGCTTCCAAGAGGGCATCTCTGCAGTGCTCATCCCAGAACAAGGGGGCAGGACACAGGGAAAGGGGACTTGCCACCGCCACCCCAGTCACCTCCAGGCACTCCTGCTCCTCCTGCTCCAGGGTCTCCATCTCTGGGGTCACATAGGCTGGCAGAGCAGAACCACACTCAGCCCACCATCCCAGCCCTGGGGGCCGGTGGGATGGGGATGCTCCAGCCCTTGGGATGCAGGGAGACACCCCACACTGCGCCGAACTTTACCTTTGAGGCTGCTGGAGGCTGGCACCCCGTCCTGCCTGCGGCGGCACCCGGCCTGCACCAGGAGGCAGCTCCGCACCTGCTCACCCTCCCGCTTGTATGGTGCCCACCGGGCTGACACCCACCACTGGCCCCATGCCGTGTCCCTGGGCTGGGCCTCAGCCGCCACCACGTCCAGCGTTTCGGTGAACAGACATTGGTCCAGCTCCCCTGGCCCTGCCCGGAAAGACTGTCACCCTGCCGAGGGATGCGCTCCCGGCTCGGAGCCTGCCCAGGCACCTCCCGCCTCAGTCTCCCCTTCCCCTCCGAGTGGGCTGGGCCCCGCCCCTCACCACTTGCCCTGTCCAAGCTCCCCTAAGCCCGGTCCCGTATGCATGTGTGTGTCCATCCACCCTGCCCCGAGGACCCCCGGGCACTGGCTGTGGGGTGTAGGCACCCACCGATGAGGTTCAGGAACTTGGCATTCTCCTCCGCGAGGGCTGGGGTCTCCTGCAGGCAGCCCGGGGGGCGCTCCATGCTTCGCCGTGGGGCTCCTGCTACCGGACCCCCGGTTGAGGGGCAGCGTGTGCCCCCAGACCGCGGCACACCCCAGGGCCCACATGTCACCCCCCCGGCCTCCTGGAACCCACATCCGCCCCTGGCCCCATAGCAGCCCGCAACACCCGCCCGAGCCCCAGACCTGCCGCGCCGGACCCAGGTGCCCTCCCCAGCGACGCCTCAGCGGTCCCTATAGCAACGGCCTGGCCCCGCCTCTTAAAGAAGCCGCGGAGGGATAAGGCCAAATAGGTATAACTCTACCAAATAGACTTTGTCTTTTATTTGGGGGACGGGATGGGACGGGACGGGACGACACACTCTAGACCCCAGTACAGCAATAATCCCCCCTCCATCACCCAGTTTGGCCCCATGGCCCCAAACAGGGGGTGCTGGAGAAGAGCCCCTTGCCTGGAGGTAGTACTGGGCTGCCCACCTTGCTGGCTCCATCCCAGCCCCCCCAGAGGAGATCCACAGCAGTGGAGCTGCCAGGGGGAGGCTGAGTGCTGGGGGAGGAACTGGGGGCTCCCAAAAAGTTAGGGCAGGGTTAGGAAAAGCCCTTGGTGCCATTGCTACAGCCCCAGCAGTGGGGTGGGGGGCTACAGACCCCCACAAAGGGTATCAAGGTGCTTTTGTGTAACAGCTGGTGACCCCCAAGTCTGGGGGAACAAAGGCAGGGATCACTTATGGGGTGCCCACTCTTTCCCCACACCCCTGCAAACACTGCACCCCAGGAAGGAGATTCACAGCAAAACAAACCACATGGGCCCGGGCTCCCTGTGCCAGAGCAGCACCCAGCCCATGGAAAGGGGACCCAGGCAGGCGGTGATTAGGGGGCTTTGTAGAGGTCCTTGCGCCGCCGCACCTCCTTGAGGACGCGGGCACGGAAGGCATTGGGGTGCTCCCCTGCGCCTTGCCGCAGCCCCAGCGCTGCGTGCAGCTCTGGCCGATGGGTCCGCAGGAAGGGGTTGTAGGTCTGCTCCTCCCCCAGCGTGGAGGGGCACTGCAGGGGAAAGAGGAGGGGGGCAGTGTCTCAGACCCCCGCTGGAGGCAGCACCCCCATCAGGGAGTCAGGACATCTGCCCCAGCACCCCCTTCCCCTACGGCACCTGCCATATAAGAGAGGTGATGGGAAACCCTGGGAGGGGCTTGGGTGGTGGTAGAGTGCAGTCAGGGACCCCCCAGCTCTCACCGTGATCCTCTTCTCCTGGCGCTGCTGCATCACCCACTGCCACTTCTGGTCCAGCGCAGGGTTGTCCAGCTCCAGGAGGCTGGCAAAGGTCAGGCACTCCAGTGCATACTCGTGGCCTGTGGACCCCCATGCCCTCCAGCATTACCTCCAACCAGCTCCCCAGCGGGAGCTAGGGGAACACCAATGGCTCTGCCACACTGTTGGGGACACTCACCTGGCCACAGCAGTGTGTCCTCGCCCAAGCCCATGGCCAAGTCCAGGGAGGCGAGCATGGTCTCAGCAGAGCCCTCAAACAGCCTGCCTGGACCCCCATGCAACCACCTGTCATGGGGGGAAGGACTGGGGGGTCCCCCCAAGCTCTTCCCAGGGTGGGAACCCGCTATCAACCCAGAATGGGGTCAGGCACACTCACCACAGCCAGAGAGGAAGAGGAGGTCCCCGGAGAAGAGGCAGGGGGGGCCACCGAAGGGCTCCCCGTCCAGCACGTACACCATGTGGCCCACAGTGTGGCCAGGCGTGGCAAGCGCCTGGAAGGTCAGGCAGCCCACGCTCACCTTCTCCCTGTCTGTAAGTGGGCTGCTCCGGGCACAGGGATGCACCGTCAGGGTATTGTGTCCCCTCCCCAGCACCTCAAAACCGCCACCTCCCAGTGCAACCCTTCCCTGGTGCATCAGTGTTGTGAGTGTGCCAGGTCTCCAACCACAAAGGGGGCAATGTGGTATTTGCGAGATGGACTGGTGGGTGGAGCAGATAGTGATGGTTGGGGGTGAAGCCCACCCCAAATTTACAGGGGTGCTGGGGGGGTACAGGACTTACTTGGTGAGGTCTGGGATGGAATCGAGGGCGCTGCCGTACACCTTGCAGGAGCTGTGCTGCTGGCAGAGCTCTGCGTTCCCCCCGCTGTGGTCCCTGCAGACAGGGAGGTCAGTGCCCCTGAATGCGTCCCCCCCATTTCCCTCCCCAACCGGGGTTGGGCTGGGCTTCACCTCAGCTGGGACACCCTCCACAGCAGCCACTGACTCAGTGTCCCCTCTTTGCCTCTTACCAGTGTTTGTGGGTGCAGAATATGGCCTCCAGCATCACCCCCTCTTTTTCAATGGCAGCCTGGGAATGGGGGGGACAGAGGGATTAGGGAGGGACACAAAACCCCAAGTACCAGTCTCTCCCTAAATCTCCCCAAGCTCCCCACGTGAGAATGGGCCCTTCCACCCTCCAGCCTTGCCTCAGGCACAAAGGACTGCAGGTGAGGAGCACATCTGAACCCCTTTGACCCCAGAAAAGCCAGAGACATGCCACCCCCTCAAGCAGGGACACCCAAACTGCAGGTCGGGGGGGCTGCAGGGACCTCACCTGCACAGCCAGCGGGTCAGAGGGGTCGATGGCGGCCGCATGGCCAGAGCTGGTGTCAATGACCAGGTAGCTGTAGTTGTTGGAAAGCACGGGAATAGGCAGGATTTTCACCCCTGTGGGGCACAGACAGACACACATCAAGGCACAACCCCCATGTGGGAAAGACTGCATGGGAAGGCCACACTGCCCATGTCTTAAATCCAGTTTTCAGTTAAACACGCTTTGGGCAACGTGGCAATGGAAACCCCTCCCTGCCCCACAGTGCCAGTGGGGACATGACGGGGCCACGCGGGGTGTCTCAGCAGGACTCACCAGGGAAGCAGCATGGCTGGGACACAGAGTGGCCGTGTGGGTACCGCTCCCGGGCCTTCCTCACCTGCCGCTGATAGAAGAGGTAGCCCAGCCGCGTGCGGGTGTACAGGCTGTACCTGGGGAGGGCAGACACCCCCAGCATTAACCTACAGCACCCCCAAGGGGCTCATTCCGTGAGGGGGCTGCTGCCTGGTTCGGGACCCCCACGGGGGACACGTACAAGGTCACTTTCACACCTTAGGGGATGGAAGTGGTGTCCTTCCCACTTTCCTGCCCTGCATCTGCAGAGAGCAGAGCTGGTTTCACTGCAATTGCTATGGGCAGCAAGGACGGGGAAGGAGGGTGGGGGTGGGAAGGCATCACAGCAGGGGTGTCCATCTGTCCATCTGTCTGTCCAGGATGGCTCTGCTCACCACGAAGGGATGGAGCCCCACGGCCTTGCCTGCAACCGTGCTCTGGCTGCTGAGTATCCCCAGCTGCCCTTCCTTTCCCTCAGCCCTGGGGGGGCCGTGCCCAGGGCTAACCCCACTCCGAGGACCTCCTCCGGGTGCCACGGCCCTGGGCAAGAGGGAAGAGGGAGGAAAACAGGCCGAGGAAAAGGGAAGCAAGAAATGCTCCCGCAGCATTTCTACACAGGGGTGCAACAGATGCAGAGTGGGGGCTCAGGGGAACGCCCCATTTATACAGCAGCATTTTGGGACTGGGGACAGGGACCGGTACCATGAAGGACATGCAAAGACCAGGGTTGCAAAGCCCTTCCCGGGGCGAAGGGCATGCCCCTGATGGCCACATCCTCCACGCTGGCACGGGCAGGTACACCGGGGAGGGATCCTGGCAGGAGCCGGGCCTCTCTGCAGCCGTGGGGGTTGGGAACCCGAAGCCGGGAACTCCTGCCAGCAGCGGGCAGCAAGGCCACGGCGGGGGCACCGGGCGGGTTAATGATTAGACCCGAGGGAAGGAGCGCCGGGATGGAGTACCAGGTCCGAGGGGGATCATAACCGTGCTGGGGAGCCAAGGGCTGACTGCCGGCCCTGCGGAGCATCCCTGTAACGCGGCTGACACCGCCTGCCCTTCTCCCCATCAGCCGGGCGGGCTGAACACCCAAGCGGTGCTGGAGCGCACCGGGCTGGCCCCGCTGCAATCCAAAGGGGGACTCCGCGCAAGCAGGGACGGACGGGCCGCTCCTCCCGGAGGCAGAACAAAGGCGGGCGGCGGCAGCTCCCTCCCGGCGGGGCTTACTGGAGCGGCGGGCACTCACCCCAGGCGGAACAGCAGCGGGCCGGCGAGGTCCATGAATGAGACGACGGCGCGGCAGGCGAGGCGGCGGAGGGGCAGGCAGGCGGCCGCGAACCCACGTGCACCGGCTGCCAGAGCCCGTAGCGCAGCCCGGCCATAGCTCCGCTGCCGCCCGCCCCGCCCCGCGGCCATGCCGCCACCGGCACGCCCCGCAACGTGGGTCACGCTGCCGCCATCCCGGCCACGCCCATTCCTCGCCGCCGCGTCCCCTGCTGGTTACGGCGCGTCACTGCCGCGTGGAACGGGGGGGGACGGACGCGAAGGAGCGCAGAGATCGCGTGAGCGGCGGCGAGGAGGGGATTCCCCACCCTACCGGCGCCGAAAGGGGTGTCCTCCAGCTGACGTCACTGCATAGAAAAGGAGGGTCCTGACGTGACGTCAGAGATCCCGGAGGTGCGGGTGGGGTCCCGTTCGGGGCGAGGGGGTCGGTTTAGCGGGGTCCGTCCCAGGGAGCGCCCCCTCATCTCCCTGCTTTATCGGCCCCTGGGGCGCAGCAGCGCGGAGTTGCCGCGGGGGGGCGCGGCAGGCGGGAGGGCGGTCGGTGCCTTCCCCCGCCCCGTCCGCTCCGTCTGCCCCGTCCCGGCTGGTCGCGGCCGCCGCCCGGCGGAGCAGTGCGCAGCAGGTAGGGTGACCCGGTTCCGCTCCCGGTCCCCGCGTAGGGCCGCTGACAAGGGTGAGACACGGGGAACCACCCCCCGTCCTGGTGGTGTCCCCACTCTTTCTCCGACTGCCCCCCGCGGGTTCCCCCCTCCCGGGTCCCCTCTCACTCCCCCTGTCCCGGCGCCTTCCGGTGCCACAGGCAGCGGGGCCGTGTCCCAGAGGGGACTGAGTGAGGGTGGGAGGCCTGTCCCTGAACCTCTGGGCCGTGCTGCGACCCCTCGCACCCGCATCCCTGGGGTGGGGGACATTTCGGGTCGCGGTTGGGCGCGGCGGGGGAGCTGGGCCGGACCGGGGTCCCGCGGGAGGGACGGAGGGCAGGAGCCCACGGACAGGACCCCGCTGTGGGGCTGGTTCTGATTTCCCGACCCCACGGAATAACGTGAAGAGGAAACCGGGGCACAGTGTGGGGTGGTCGAGAGGAAGCACCGTCCTTTGTGCTGTGGAAGGTGAACCCGCGGACCGGTGGGGTGTCTCAGGAGGTGAGGGCACGGGTCTGTGCCCGCAGGGTATGGCGTGGCACCGTGGGGTACCCGCCCGCGGTGAGGCACTGGGGTGGGGTACAGAGAGGCAGCGGTGATGCTGAACTCTGGCGAACTCGTGCCCTGTGTGAGCGGCACGGGGGCAGGCGGCAGGGATCCCGGCTCAGGTGGCGCTGGAACCCTCTGGCTCAGCAGGGCTGGGCTGAGCCAGGCTAAGTTGGGTTGTGCTGTACGGGGCCATGCTGTGCTGTACCAGGCTGTGCCATCCTGTATCAAGCCATGCCATGCTGTACCACGGGGTCCTCTGTGTCTCACCCTTGTCAGCAGCTCCGTGCCGTACCAAGCTGTACCATCCTGGTGGGAGCTTCCAGGCTCTTCTAGGAAGTCAGCAGCTTTTCCAGGCGGCCTCAACATGGGGAGCCATGGGAAAAGCAGGAAGCCCTGGCCCCCACCTCAAACCTTGGTGCCCCCCCAAGGTGGCCTTTGGCACCCAGGCTCCCTGTGGAGCTGGTGATGGTGGGGCCTGAGCTAGCTGAAACACTGGGGTGTCTGCTGGGCACACTTCCCAGTCCGTTCGGGGGGCTGTGCTGGGGGTGACAGCCGCCTGTGCCCTGGGTCCTGCCACATGTGCCTTATCTGTGCTGAGTCATGGTGCTGTGCTGAGCAGCACCCTGTCCCAGGGGATGGCACGTCACGACGGGGCCACTGAGCCAGCCCCAGTGGCCTTGTGGCTGGCAACCTGTGGTTTCAGAGCCCCGCAGTGCCGTGGCCTGGGGAGGGTGAAGGGTGCTGCCTGCCTCCCTGGGTGCGGCGGCCGCAGGGACCTGTCAGGCTGGTTTCTGCCGCATCCCCAAGGCCACCCCACTGGGGTGGGACAGGGGGGGCTGGGGCAGGCAGCAGACCCTGCCATGAGGTGCTTGGCATGGGCACAGGGTGAGACGCCCCGATGGCCGTGTGCTGGCTGCATACAGCCCGCTTTCCCGTCGGTTCCCTCCTGACCACTCTGGTCCTACCTAACCAGGTGCCAGTCATGGAGGTTTTCCTGTGGTCAGGCCCCTGTTTCAGGCCTTCATTGGCCTCAGAGAGGAGGTGGTGCCAAGGGGCACCGTGTGCTTTTTGGGACTCTGCAGAGTAGGGAAAGTGAAACTTCCCAATTGGTCACTGCCACGATGGTTATTTTTGGTACCCCTGTCATTGTGATGGTGAAAGATGGCATGGCTGGGACAGACAGAAGGTGGGAGGGACAGAGGGACAGACACTGAGCCCTGGCACTGTGGCCCACCCAGCCTGGCTGCGGGAAGCGCTGGCGTCACACTGGAGGAAGTGCCCATTCCCACCCAGCCTATTCCCGTCAGGGGTTGGATCCTTGTCCCTTCGCAGGGACTGTCCTGGGGTCACATCCCTGCTGTGTGTGGGGAGGCTGTGGGGGGCCCTGGCTCCTGTCTGGGGCTCAGTGTGGGCATCCCCAACTGACAGCACTGGCGGGTGGCAGGCCTGGCACTGGCTCCTGGCAATTCTGTTGTTTTCCAGGGTTTGGAGATCCTGCCTTCTTCCTCCTCCTGCTCCTCCTGCTCCTCCTCCAGGCACCCTGCCCAGCAGCTGGCCCTGGGCCCGGGCTGGCTGCTCTCGGCTCTTGGGGCTCTGCACGGGGGCCCGGCGCAGCCGGGGAGGGGAGCTCAGCCCCGGAGTGGGGGGTCCTGGCTCTCCAGGGGCCATCCACCTCCTTCTGGGGTGATGCAGATGGCACTTGTCACTGTAAGCCCCTGGGAGGACTCTGGCATTCTGGAGCTGCTGTGTGACCCACTGGGCTGACGGGTGGGCGCACCCCGGAATGGAAGTGGGGCAGTGGGGTCTGCACGGGTGTGATCAGGGTGATGCTGTTTGGCCCCAGCACGTTGCTACCAGGAGCCAGAGGCCAGCCCGGGCATGGTGCGTGGTGTACGTGCTCTGTACCCCCCGGCAATGGCAGGGTGGGCTCCAGCGGCCACAGAGGTCACGTCCCCCCCTGCTGTGGTGTCTTGAGTCAGCGCGTGGCCATGCCCTGCCCGTGGCTGCCACTGACGCAGGCGCTGGGGACTCAGAACACAGGAATGGGGTGGCCCTGGTTGGAGGACTGGGGACCTCCTGCACGTCTCATTGACCCACTGTTGTTGAGGTCAACTCACCCTTATTAATTAGATGCCTCTATTAAAGTGGGAGGGGGAAGTTTTCGGGCTCCACTGTCCCCTGTGTCCCTGCAGCTCCACTCGCCAGGGATACGTCTTGCCTGGGGAGGGGGACCTGAGCTAAGAACCCCCCCATCTTCTCTCCCCTCCAGGTGCCTGTGGGAGACGCAGGGAGCCAGCATGGCGCAGCCCAGTGCACCCCCTGCCTATGATGACAAGAACCCTCTGTACCCCCCACCCCCGGCCGGGTACCCCCAGCCACCCCACTATGGGGGGTACCCCCAGCCTGGGGGCTACCACCCACAGCCTGGGGGATACCCCACAGCAGGGGGGTATGCACAACCAGGGGGGTACCCAGGGGCAGGGGCATACCCCCAGCCGGGGATGGCCATGCCCACCATGCCTATGCGGTTTGGTAAGTGGGGGCATCTTGGGGTTCTTTGGGGGAGGAAGGGGGGCACTAGAAATAGGGATGCTATGGGGGGGAGCTGCATGGCTGACCCTGGTGCTGATGGTGTCCCTCACCGCAGGTGACAATGGCATGGGGGATGGCTCCCCATTCCAATCGGCCGACTGGGATGACAGGAAAGTCCGGCACACCTTCATCCGCAAGGCAAGTCCTACAGGGCTGGGGGCACCTGTTAGGGTGGGGGCCATGCGCTGACCCTCCCCTCTCTTGCAGGTCTATGCCATCATCTCCTTGCAGCTCCTGGTGACAGTGGGGATCATCGCCGTGTTCACCTTTGTGTGAGTGGAGGGTTCCTCCTTAGCCTTGACCAGAAGAGGGAGGGGTCCTGACCCTTTGTCCTCTGGGGGATCCTGAGGAGACAATCGTTCCTGACCCCCCTTCCCTGACACTCGTCCCTCCTATCCCACAGCCACCCTGTCCGCTCCTTCGTCCAGAGGAACGTCGCCATCTACTATGCCTCATAGTGAGTAGGGGTCTGCTGCCTTATGCCCCCCATCCTGGGTGGTCTGCAGGAGCTGGCACCCCACAGTCACAGTCTCCAGCCCTGGGGGTCCTGGTGGGGGGATCGCAGAGTTGACACCCTCTGACATTCTCTGTCTCTGCAGTGCTGTGTTCCTGGTGACCTACCTGGTGCTTGCCTGCTGCCAGGGTCCCCGGTGAGTTGATGGTGGCTGGGACCACTGCAATGACAGGGTGTGGATGTAGGGGGGGGTCTCCAGGGCATCAGGAGCAGGGTGTTTGCCTAGAGGGTGGGGAGCAGGGGGACACAACATGGCCACTGTCACCAGCTGACCTCCCTACCCTGGTTTCATCCGCAGGAGACGCTTTCCCTGGAACATCATCCTGCTGAGCATCTTTGTGAGTGGGATAGGGTTGGGGGGGGGAGCTGGCGGTGCCCCCATGGCAACCCAGCTCCCCGTGCCGGCTGGGGGGATAGAGGGATAGGCAGGGGCAGCCAGGAACTGCTGCACTCCATGGGGCTGCCCACCCCCTGAGCCCACCCTTCTCTCCTGCAGACGCTGGCCATGGGGCTGATGACGGGGACAATTGCCAGGTATGCCCTGGGCCCTGTGGTGACAGGAACTGGACTCCCTCTCGTCCTGCACGATGCAGCTGGCTCAAATGAGAGGCTGCTGGAAGCCAGGGGACACCTTGATCCCTTGGGGTTGGGGACAGCAGGGTCCCTGTCCAGGATCGGGGCTGGGAGGGTCACCAAAACCCCCTGGGAAGGGGACACCAAAGCTTGGGGTGACTCTGGTTGTCCCCTCCATTTGCAGCATGTACCGCACCAATGCTGTCCTGATCGCCATGCTCATCACCGCCATTGTGGCCATCATTGTCACCATCTTCTGCTTCCAGACCAAGGCAAGGAGGGGGATGTGCCCTGCCCTGGTGGGGGTCGGGCACAGGGAGCCAGGTGGTGGGGACACGCTGGGCTCTCCCATGACGTGCGTGTGTGTCTCCTTCTCTGTAAGGTTGATTTTACATCGTGTCCGGGTCTCTTCTGTGTGCTGGGCATCGTGGTCATGGTGACCGGGATCGTCACCGCCATCGTCCTCTCCTTCAAATATGTGAGTGGGGGGGCAGAGGGCCTGTGGGGTGCCGTGGGTGTCCCTGGTGGGGCATCTGCAGGGCTGGCAGGGGGGTTCGGGTGCCCCCCTTTGAGGGAAGCAGGGTGTGGTGCTGGCCATGGCACAGGCAGCTTGCCCGCAGGGAGAGGGTGGGTTGGCGTCAGCAGCAGCTCCTTGGATCCGGGTGCGGGCAGGACGTGCCCTGCCTTGCCCGCTGCCTGCCAGGCTCACCCTGCCCGTGTCCCTCTCCCCGCGCAGGTCCCCTGGCTCCACATGCTCTATGCAGCCATCGGCGCCATCGCCTTCACCCTGGTGAGTTGATGGCTGGGGTGGCAGAGGGTGTCAGGCAGGGACTTGGGGGGGAACCCTGCCTTGGAACTTGCCTGACGCTCTCTGCTCCACCCCAGTTCCTTGCCTATGACACCCAACTTGTGCTGGGGAACAGGAAGAACACATTAAGCCCTGAGGAGTACATCTATGGTGCCCTCACCATCTACACCGACATCATCTACATCTTCACCTTCATCCTGCAGATCGTGGGCCGCGATTAGCCTGAGACCCCTCCTGTCCCCACCCTGCTGCCCCTCACCCCTTTCTCTGGCCTCTGTACAGGATATGGCCACTTACCACAACTCCTAACGCTTTGGCATCCCTACCCATAGACTGCTAAGGAAAGGGCTTCCCTTGACCCACCCCCACAAGCCTCCAAGGGTAGCGTGGGGGAACCAGCTGCCTGTGTTTAGGCAGTGCCCAACCTCAGCACTGCTTGCTGAGGCCATGCTGGCGGTGCCGGGCTGGTAGCAGAGTGCCACGGTCCTGCCTGGGCTCAGGGAGCTCGCAGCAGCACTGGGACTGTGTTGGGATGTTTCTGGGAGAGTCCGGTCAGTGTCATTCACTCGGTGCCTTAAACGCGGCTCAGGCCATGTCCCATTCCTGAGCTGCGGCAGTGCCCGGTGCGGGCAGGGTGGGGAACCCTGTGGTGGTACTCGTGGCAGAGCTCGTGTTCCCAAGGCCCTGCAGCTGTGGCCGTGGACGAAGTTGCACTTGCTAAATAAAACACTTTAATTTTGCAGACTGTCCCAGTCTCACTGCGGTGGCAACTGCCCTGGAACCCCACAGGCAGCCTCCATGGGGGCTGCGGCCCTGGGCAGCGCAAACCCTGCTTTGGGATGGATAAACCAAGGTCAAGCTGCCCAGGGCTGGCCTCCCTCCCTGGCCTGTACTCCTCCACCTGGCTGCAGAGCAGCTGGGTTCCTCCCTGAGAGCAGGGGAGCAGGCAGGACTGGGACTCAGCACTGAGGCAGTGACTGCAGTGGCAACCGAGCTGTTCCACTCATGAGGGATGGTGTTTATTTGTCCCTATCCAACCCCACAACCACCCCATGGGCTACACAGGGAGTGCAGGTGCCGGTGCTGTGTGTCCTGTGGGGCTGGTGTCCCCTTGACCAGTCCCTTTGGGGTGCCAGGCTTGGGGTGGGGGCAGCCTGGCTATGCCCCCCTGGCCACCCTCTTGTATCGCTCTGACTCGTACTCGCCCCGGGTGGCTTCTACCATCTTTTGGCGGATTTTGAGCTGCTCCAGGCGGTTTTTGTCCACTTCCCGCTTCACCAGGAGGAAGAGGATGATGCCAGAGGGCAATCCGATGGCCCTGCAGGACAGACAGGGGGCAGAAGATGCAAGAGAGCTGGTGGGAAACAATTGCCCTGTGCCACTCTGGGGCGCACAGACACCTCCCAGCTCAGCTCTCCAGGCCCCCATGACTCCTTGTGTCCACCCCCAGGCCCTGCAGAGCAGCAGTCTCCTGGTGCCGAGCTTCTCCTGCCACCCGAGCCACTCACCAGGCCACCCCCACCGGCTTCATCGGGTTCTTGCCCTTCTTGCGGGTGGGAATGTACTCCACCCCCTCGGGGAGCCCGCCACGGCCAGGCTCCGGCCCGGACTGTGGCCCCGCTGGCCGGTGGCAGCTCTGCCTGAGGAGCCGTGTGCCAGGAGGGGACAGGCAAAACCGGGGCCGGGCACTACGCGCTGCTGGTCCTGCTGCCAAGAGCAGCCCTGCGGGGAGAGAGGCGTCAGGGACAGGCGACCATGGGGCAGCGTGGGGAGCCCAGCCTGAGCCCTACCCCTGCCCCGCCCAACCCCGGCGGCAGGGGGCGCTAGAGGGCGGGGCCTAGACAAAGGGGCGCGGCTCTCCGCCTGGCGGAGCGGGCCGGCTCTCGGGTGGCCCCGGTGGCTGTGTGGCATGCCGCGGGGGGACCCTCCCTCCCCGGGGCCGCGCCCCTCCGCCCGCCGTTACCGCGCAGCGTGCCGAGCGCCGCCGCCATGGCGATCCGTGCAGGTGCGCGGCAGCCCCGCGGCATGCCGGGAGCTGCAGTCCGCCGAGCGGGGGTGCCGTGCAAGGCGCTGACAGGACTGCGCGCGGAAAACTACATCTCCCAGAGGGCACCGCGCGGGGCGGGCTCTGCCCAGCGCTGCTGGCGGAAGGGGCGGGGTCCGGGTGAGGACGCTGCCGGGTTGGCTGAGGCGGCGGGGCGGCCGGCGGGGATTGGCCAGGGCGGGCCGAGCGGCGGAAGTGGCGGCGGCGGCGGGGCGGGGCGCGCGGGCAGACCGGCATGGAGCCCGCCGAGGGGCCGGGAGTGGTGGACTTCCACGGCGATGAGGAGATCATCGAGGTGGTGGAGTTGGGCCCGCCCGGTCCGGGTGAGACGGGGACCCCGCGCCTCGCACCGGGCAGCGCCTCCAGCCGGGGCAGCGGGCCCGCTCTGGCCCCGCACCAGCGCCAGGCCAGGCCCTGCCCTGCCGCGGCGCCCGGCCTGTTCTGTTCCCCCTCCGATCCCCCCGGGGCCTTCGGCCTCTCCCTGCGTCGCGCCCCGCTGCTGTGCGGCTCTTTCGCTCCGGGTCTCCTGGCCGCGGTGGCGTCGTGGTGGCGCGGGCCCCAAGGACCCCCCAGCACACCCAGTGCCCTGCGGTGGCCGATCCGGGCAGGCCGCGAGCCGAGCCCTGACCTCTGCCCCCTCCAGATGACCTGGCCGACGAGATGGAGGACGTGGATTTTGACGAGGCGGGAGAAGAGCCCGATGCTGAGACGTGGGAGACGGAGGACGAGGAGGGCGGGGGGGACAGCATGGAGCCGCAGGATGACAGCGAGGTCACGTTCTCCCTGCACTCGGGTGAGTGCGCGGCACGGGCAGTGGCCGCCGGGGTCTCCTTCGGGACCTGCTCCCACAGGCTGACGTTCACCGGGTTGAGGGGGGTGCAGGTTAAGGTCCTTGAACACCACTGGTTCCTGGCTGTGCCTGGGATGGCCATCAGAACTCGGGGCTGCCTCGGGCTGTGCTCGTTTATACCTTACACTCTGGCAGAGAAGCCCTTTGAGCCCCTTACCATGGTAGCACACCCTGAGCTCTGCAGAGAGCGCGTGATGCGCTTCCCCTATGGGAAGCGATTCCCACTGGTTTGGTTGGGAGTTCAGCTGGCTGTGCGGTTTGGATGCCCTGGAATGCCAAGTGGGGTGTGAGCAGTGTCTGAGCTGTGTGGCCTCTCTTTACTTTTCTGTGAAGCTTCTGTTTTCTGCGTGAGCCTTGACCCTAAGACCAACACGCTGGCAGTGACGGGTGGGGAGGACGACAAGGCCTTTGTGTGGCGCGTGAGTGATGGAGAGCTCCTGTTCGAATGCACAGGTGAGGTGCTCGAGGGTTGTTCAAGCCCTGCCCCTCCCTGGCCATGCTCATCCCCAGCCAATGCTCTGCTGGAGCCAGTCTCCTGACTGTCCTCCGTGGCTCTGCCTGAGCAGTCTCTCCCCCAATGCCTCCAGGGCACAAGGACTCAGTCACCTGTGCTGGCTTCAGTCATGACTCTGTGTTTGTTGCCACTGGTGACATGTCCGGGCTTATCAAAGTATGGCGGGTGGAAGCCAAGGAAGAAGTGTGGTCCTTTGAAGTGGGGGACTTGGAGGTGAGTGGTAGGATTCCTGGTGCTATGGGAAGCCCATGAGCCAGCATGGGTGGTGGTGGGGACACGCAACCCTCATGATGCTGCCTGTTCTCTCTGCCCAGTGGATGGAGTGGCACCCTCAAGCCCACGTCCTTCTGGCAGGCACAGCGGATGGCAACTCCTGGATGTGGAAAATCCCCAGCGGAGACTGCAAAACCTTCCAGGGCCCTGCGTGCCCAGCCACATGTGGCAGGATCCTGCCTGACGGTGAGGCATGGAGGCTGTCCAGGGTGGGGAATGTCACCAGCACTGTGACAGATCCTGCTGCCACCTCTGTCCTCCTGTGTCTGCCAGTCTGTGCTGAGGGATGAGTGGGGCTCTGGTTCTATCTGCTGGTCTTGTCTCACCCAGGGAAGAGAGCAGTGGTGGGGTACGAGGATGGGACCATGCGAATCTGGGACCTGAAGCAGGGAACCTCACTGCATGTCCTGAAAGGTACAGAAGAGCTTAATCACCTGGGGTGCTCCCTATTTGGGGAACATCCCCTTCCAGTGGGCTCTGAGCTCTGCACAGGTGGGAAGATGGCACATTCCAGGGCCAGGGAGGGAGACTGGTACTGGGTTTCCCCCTCCCTGCGGGTGCTGGCAGAGCCGGGGCAGGTGGAGGCTGCAGGAAGGGTTTTGAGGCCCACCCGATCTCCATGGGGAGGACATGTGGAGCTCATAGCTGTCCTGCTCACCCCCAGGCCAGGATGGCCATCAGGACCCCTTGACGTGCTTGGCCAGCAATCAGGACGGCAGTTTGATCCTGACGGGCTCCGTGGACTGCAACGCCAAGCTGGTCAACTGCGCCACGGGCAAGGTGGGTGTCCGCGCAGGCGGAGCCAGGAGCCGCCGGGGACCAGCCTGGGTGTGCCGGCGGTTCACAGCTCTGCCGGCCCCGAGCAGCCCGTGGTGGTTCCCCGGCAGCCAACAGGAGGCGACCGCGGCCAACACAGCCGCGGTGGGGCTCAGGGCCGGTCCCGCGGGGCTCGGAGCTGGAGCAGGTTCCCCCCCTTGTTTGCTCCGAGGAGCTGAGGTTTTGGGCTGGATCCCGAAGGGAACCTCGATGCGGCGGGGGTCCCTTCCCCTCCCTCAGACACTCTCCAGCCTCCCTCCACGCAGGTGGTGTGCGTGTTCAAGATGGAAAGCACGTCCCCCAAGGCCCCTGGTGGTGAGAGCGAAGAGGCAGAGTCCAACTCGGTGGAGTCCCTGGGCTTCTGTAATGTGTGAGTGTGGGGACAGCCCCTCTTCAGTGTGGGATCTTACAGGGGGTGTTTCCATCCCTTGCACTTGCTCTGCTACGTTTCTCATCTCCATCCTCCCCAGCTGGCTGTGGAGAGCCTGGGTCACTTGGGTGTGACACGGAGGACAAGAGACACCATATGATCAGTCCTCCCTACAACCCGGTGGGTTTCTGAGAGAGCCTGATGGGCCACTGTTGGGCCAGGATAGCCTCCAGACTTGGCTGCTGGGGATCTTTCCTACCAGGACAGTGTCTTCTGTCTTGTGAACCTCAGGCTGGTTACTGACTGTCTCTGTCCTGTTGTGTTTCCTGATCAGGTTGTCCCTCACCTTCTTGATACGCAAGGGTTTGCCTTCAACCTTGACGTGCTTCCATCTCTGCTTCCCCCAGGCCCACGTAATGCCTGTTCCCCTTTCTGCAGGATGCCGTTGGCTGCTGTGGGGTACCTGGATGGCACGCTGGCTATCTATGATCTCTCGACACAGAGCTTGAGGCATAAGTGCCAACATGAGGTACTGCCCTACCACCCCCTCCCTTTGCCTGGGGGGTACTCTTTGGGCCCAGCCAAGACCTCCCTTGGAGCCCAGGGCCTTTCCTGGGGCCAGTTCCCAATTTGTGCTTCTCCCTCAGCCCCTTGGGCTTCCCCAGAGGCAGTCACAGTCCCTGCACAGAGGATGTGCCCCAGAGCCTGGCCCTGGGGGCTGGCCCTCCTATGCAGACAGCACTAGGGGAACCCGTGGGGGGAGCTGAGCCTTGCTGGGGTCCCGAGTCCTCACCCTGTGGCCTCCCCCTGCCATAGTCGGGGATTGTGCAGTTGCTGTGGGAGGAGAGCTCGGCCGTGGTGTACACCTGCAGCCTGGACGGGGCCGTGCGGCTCTGGGACGCGCGCTCAGGGAAGATGATCAGCGAGTACCGAGGGCACTCGGCCGAAATCCTCGACTTTGCTGTCAACAAGTGAGTGGGGAACCCCTGCACCCCTTCCCTCATGGGACTGGGGGTGGGGGTGCCATCATGGGCTTGTCTCTCCTTTGGGTGCCCCTGGGGTCTGTTGCTCAGGTCCATGCTGAGACTTTAGGGTCCCAACAGGGAGCAAGATGGAGCTGGGCCCAAAGATGCCTGAAGCCCCCAGCTCCATCTCTGAGCCCTGTCTCCCTCCAGGGATGCCTCCATTGTGGTGACAACCTCTGGTGACCACCAAGCCAAAGTGTTCTGCGTGCAGCGTCCTGATCGCTAGGAGCTGTGCTGAGGGATGTGTCCTGGCTCTGCTGCCAGGGGCTTGTGTACAGAGGGAAGGAGGAGACGGGTTCCACCACCCTTCTCCAGCACATGCTTTGTAATTTTCCAGTCTGCCTCACTCTGCCCTCACCATCTGGGGGCCAAGGCTGGGGTTTTGTATGAAAGTGTCTTTTAATTATATAAATTATTTCACTTATCTGGATGCCATCCACTTTCCTTGTTGGAGGGAAGAAGACCTGCGGAACTACGCTCCCTCCCTCCTCAGGTATCTCCCCAGCACCCAGCCATGGCCTGAAGATCAACAGCAGATGTTTTTATGCTGGTCTGGGTGGAGGCAGAGACCCTCAGTTGTAGTTCTCCCTGTCAGGGGGAAGGAAGGCGTTAGGGTAGGGTACAGATTGCTAACTGAGGGTAGGAGAATCCTGCTCTGTACAGCCCACGAGATCCTTAACGCAACAGGCTACTTGCTCCAGAACTAAGTGGCTCTGGGGTACAGTCATTATACAGTAAATAACAGGCCCTTTGCATCTGTGACTTCAAACACGGCCACATATGTTGATGAGCCAAAGCCCCTTAAGATAGAAAGATCTTCTTTATTAATGAACCCCAACAGTATTTCTTCAGATACAGGAGTTTTGAACTCAAATATTTAGAAGAAAACGAGTTAATATTGCATTATTCTCCTAAGAAATACTGCAACTTATCTCTGGTAACATATTGCAAAGCGAAACAGCTTGAAAAGAAAAAAAAAACATTAAAAAAGAAAAGAAATTAAGTCAATCAAACTGGAATTAAGGTTTTTGTTTCTTGGAACGATCGAGTCCTCGCAAGCACAGCTCGTTTCTGCAGATTACTCCCCAAACTGTCGTACAAACAGACCCCGATTGCTTGAATTCCTTATGAGCCCACAGAGGTGCAACATTAAAAGCTACGATTATCAGGTAGCAAGTGCCCCAACCTTCGTCCTCCACGGCAGCCTCAGGGACCCCGGCGTTAACGGGTTGTGAACGTCTTCCCCCTGGAAGGATGGAGGGAGAGGTCAGCACGCCCCCAGCGCTGTTCTGGGTGCCTCAGGGTGGCTTTTGGAGGGGCACAAGCTTGCACTGAGGTCTCAGAGCCAGGCAGGCACTGCTGGTTCAGAGCTTGCAGGCATTTGTGGCTGCAGAACGAGGTTATGGGGCTGTGTGGAAGGGCTGGTCTTTGCACAGGGGACAACCCTGCTGCCCTGGATCAGAACTCACAGGGGACATGCCAAGATGCACAGAAGGAGGATACCAAGGGGCTCTGGGATCAGCAGAGGGAAACAGACCCCAAGGAAATGCGCTCATGAACTGGTCTCCTCCACTCACTTGTCCTGGGCTGCTTTATTCACAAGAGGGAGCCAGCCAGCCAGCGTGGTGGCCTGGGAGTGCTCCTGGCCCCAAGGCCAAGGAGCAGCAGACAGTGGGCAGCAGGAACCTGCTCCAGCAACCACAAACCCCAGGAAGCACCTAGCCGTTGTACCCACAAGAACTGGAGCTGCACCCAGAGCAGATCCCAGAGTCAGCTTTAATACAAGAGGGGAAAAGCCTCATGAATGCCCCAGCAGGCTCAGGGTGGAGGACAATGGAAACACCAGGGCTCACAGAGCCATGTACAAAAGGTTTCTGCAAAGGACCTGCTGGCCCAGGGTCTGCCACGCATCTGGCTCCTGAAAGGACACATGAGGCAAGAAGTGTGATGGAGGTAGTAGAGGGGTCCTGGGAGGCCAACACACCATGATCCAGCCTTTCACCTCGAAGCACCCAGGCAAGCACCTCTCTGTGAAACATCCCCTTTCTCTCTCAGATGGAGTCCCAGCACACCACCCCTGGTCTGGTCACCCCCACAGGATCCCAGCCCTCCCCAGGCTAGAGTATGCCAAGGTGAGAATAAGCAAACTCCTGGCTTGCAGAGCTTGTTACTCACGTGATTGTTTTCATTTCTTTCTTCTCTGCGTCTGGACGGGCACGGTTCAGCACCTTGAGGAAATCGGATGTTTTCGCCCTCATCCGCGTGTGAATATAGGCCTGTGTTTCATTAGGAAAAAAGGGGAACACGTCAGGATCCTGTTTTCACAAATAAGATTTCAGGACACGGGTAGGAGCTCTCTGCTCCTTGGGAAAACACCTAAGTGTGAGGGGAGTCCAGGAGACAGTAGCTCCCCTGAACAATTACCCTCATTTCTGTTCCCAGAAAGAAAGGAAATCAGGTCCAAAAGGGAAAAGTCTTAGTTCACTGCTACAGGAAGCAAACAGGTATTGCTTGTGCCAAAAGAGCAGGGACAAGGTGAATGATGCATCACTTGCCACCCCTGCATGACAGCGTAGGGCAATGCCAGACCCTAAGTGAGGTCTTAGGGGAACACCCATGCTCCATGTTCCTCCCCAGCAGCACCCAGGTTAGATGGGCTGAAGCTACCCTGTATCCCCCAGCTCCATCCCATCAGTACCTTTGAGCACTTGATGTGATAGTGCAGGTAGTCCCGGAATGTGTGGATCAGGTTTATGGTGTTGTCTCTGGCAGCAGCATTGGTGTGACGGGGGAACAGCACTGAAAGAAGAGGGCAACACAAACTGTTAATGCCTCTTGAGGCCACCAAAGGGCTTCAGGTTCCTCCAGTGCCGGAGGCTTCAGTGTGCTGCTCCGAATAACTACTTTGCTCTCTACAGAGAGCCCTTAACACCAAGATTAAGCAGCACTTGTGATGTTAAACACACCCACATCTCCCACAGCAGCCTGGACACAACCATTGCCTTCCAGAGGACACAGACAAGGCCAAGTGCCCAGAGGTGACGGCACTGCAGGAAACTGCATGATGCTACTTCAGTACCCCGGAGGAACAAACGGAAGAGAGAGCTGGGAAGCAGACAAGGAAGGCAGATCCAGTCTGCCCTTGGATCTTGGAATCAGCTGTGGGTCTCTGCCTGGCAGCCTGCTGGCCCTGTGACACAGCTACACTTGTTTATAGCCAGGGCTGGGCTCGTTGCTGGCTCTTTCCACTGGCTGGGGCTGTGCTGTGTCCCAGATCCAAGGGCTGAAAGACCTTTTTGTCTGGGTGATGATCTCACCTGGGACTGTCAGATCAGATAACACGGAAATTGTCTCAACAAGAATGAAGTTTTGCTCATGTCCTAAACCTGCTGTCAGACAGCCCTCTCATAGCTGATGAGCTGCTCTAACCTTGAGGCACCATTCCCAGCACAGGAGGGGGGCAGTGCTATCCTCACCTTCACCTGCAGTGCCTGTGCTCCATGTCTGAGCTCTGAACTGCAGGAATGTCAGCCTGTCAGACCCTAACCCTGACCCCCAATTTCTCTGGAAAAGACTGTTCCCTGTGAACAGGACAGGGTTCGGTCTCCTCAGCTCAGCCCTAAGCAGCGCTGCCCAGAAGGAGGCGATGACTCTGCTGGCCAGCCACCTCTGCAGGCAGGGGAAAGGCTTATGAGAGATGGGACTGTTTGGCCCAGAGCAGAGGCAGAGCTGGAGAAACAGAACTCACTGCCCTGCTCCTGCTCTCATTGCCTCTGCTGATCAAGCACTGCACAGGTACCTGCAGCTGGACAAGCAACAAATAAATACACTTGCATGAAACCACCCACAAGAAACCTCCATTTTCCACAGTATCACAGCAGAGCCACCCTTCCCCTGCTCCCAAATGCTGAGCTTATTTCCTAGGCAGACATAGGATCATAGAATCAGAATAGTTAGGGTTGGAAAGGACCTTAAGATCATCTAGTTCCAAACCCCCTGCCATGGGCAGGGACATCTCGCACTAAACCATGTCACCCAAGGCTTCGTCCAACCTGGCCCACCTTGAACACCGCTAGGGATGGAGCATTCACAGCCTCCCTGGGCAACCCATTAACAGCTGTCTGCTTCCACACCTTCTCACCCACAGCAGAGCTGAGGTGACCTGACACAGCAAAGGGACACACCAAAGGGGGCAGACAGCACAGAACACAACCCCAGAGTCACTGCAGCTCCAACGACCCATTTGAACACTCAGAGAAGGTGAATCCCTCTTTGCTTTTCATGCAGCAGTGGGAACCTCTCTCCCCCGAAGCATCCCCACGCCTCAGAGCTGCCTCTTACCAAAGGTGATGTAGCCAATATTGTCGCCAACGGCTGCGTCTGTGTCTTTCAGCTCCAAGGGCGGCTCCCTGTGGCTGAAGAGCACCTGTGGGGCTGTGTGACTGGCCCGGCGACCCTCCTTGAACTCCTGAGCAAGACAAAGCGAATGTGAGTCCATCTGAGGCCTTCCAGCTACTCACAGAGAAATCAAATGGGGTTTCCCCAGTCCTACAGGGCACTGAGCGGGAGGTTTCCCAGCTTTCCCTGAATGGGATGAATCCCCAGCAAAACCAGAACAAATCAAATGGCTGCACCAGGTCTGGGGTGGCTTTCGACATCTCACTTCCTGCCATGGGTGTTTTGTGGAAGGGACACCTCAGTCTGAGCAAGTGCATGAAACAGCACAGCTCCTGCTGGGAAGTCAACACCATTGATGCTTCCAGTGAAACTGGGCAGCACTCATCACCCCACAGGAAATGAAGCGCTCAGGAAGGGCTGCAAGGCAAGGGCTCCATTGCACCTCATGTAAAGATCTGTCTGAGAAAGCATCTCCCCCACCAGGAAACTTTGCCTAAGCATTAGGAGACATCTATGGCATTTGAAGCTTGTGTGCAAAGCCTGCTCCTCCCTAATGCTTCTTTACACCTTGAAACAATACTTCCAGGCAGGGAGACGCCTTCCATCAGGGAATGTCTCCGACAGCAGCATGACCCCCACCTCACATGAAATGAACTGGCCCTGCATTTCGGGAATTACATGACTGTCCCTGTGTGGAGCTGGGAAAGTCCAGACACCATTCTCCTGCCCCAAGGCAAGGCAGCCTCCCCTCTGCCTCACTGATCACCAGCCCAACCAACAGATCATCAGTCAGCCCTGGCCTCTCCCCCCTGCTGAGCACAGCTCACACTGGGGAGGACAGAAACATCCGAACAAAGTAGTTCACTGGGGTTTCCTTAATGAAATGCATAGCTTGCACTTCTGCCTGCTCATGTTGGATAGTGAAATGTTTCAGATGGCTTCACTGGTTAGTTAATGGTCAGATTTTCTCCATGAGAGAGCCCAGGTGAGCAGCCACCATGCCCGACTGGGCTGGGTTATGCAAGA